GCAGAGGCCAAAGCGGGGTCGTCCCCTAAATAGGAAGGTTGTTGGTTCGATTCTCTGGCTCCTCCTTGTCACCATGCGAAGTATCCCTTGAGCAGAATACTGAACCCCAAATTGCTCCTTGTGAATGATGTATGAGTGAGTTAGTTTTCTGTTTCAATGGGGCCCCCCCTTTGCCAAAAGGGCGAATGTGGATGTAGTTTGTAAGTCTTTAATATTTTCCCTCAAGAGTTGGTAGAGATCAAAAACTGAGCTAAAAGAGAGTGAATATTGGAGCTTTAATTCATCATATGGATACTGTGAATGAATGATGTTGTTTCACCATGTACTGTAAAATGTAATGTTATGCTGCAAATAAGCTCAAAAGCTGGATATGCTAGCTACTGAATTACAGTGATGAAAAGAATGAAAGCTAATTTCCACAAAAATCAGTTCAAGAGAATCAACTGTGAGAAAAATAAAACCTCTGCACATTGTGCCATATAATAATAATAATAATAATAATAATAATAATAATAATAATATAATAATAATAATACTAATAACATGTTATTACACCCTAAAATATTGACCTGGAACTTGAAGAATCAACTATTTCTTTAAATGCAACCCTTGGATTTATTTAATGCTTTTAAAGTGCAAAAAAAAATAAAAAAAATATATAAATGATGGACAATGAACAAAGGTACCATATGTAGTTTTTTGTCCTGAAAAATATTCTTCTGCATAATGCCGTTTAACACATTGATCACATTTTGTTTTACAGGGTGAAAATCTTTTTTTGAATACATGTAAACATTTTGTAATGACGTAACACTTCTAATAAAACCGTTTCTGTTCAATGGGCTTTGCCAAAAGGGCGAATGTGGCATGTAGTGTAAAAGTGCTTTGAGTGGTCGGAAGACCCACTGTACACTACCTGCTCAGCACCAAACGGTAGACAGACAGTTAGAGCATTTAGCATCTAAAAAGTCTTATATTTCCCTCAAGAGTCACTCTCTTTTAGCTCAGTTTTTGATCTCTACCAACTCTTGAGGGAAAATATTAAAGACTTACAAACTACATCCACATTCGCCCTTTTGGCAAAGGGGGGGCCCCATTGAAACAGAAAACTAACTCACTCATACATCATTCACAAGGAGCAATTTGGGGTTCAGTATTCTGCTCAAGGGATACTTCGCATGGTGACAAGGAGGAGCCAGAGAATCGAACCAACAACCTTCCTATTTAGGGGACGACCCCGCTTTGGCCTCTGCGCACAGCCGCCCCTACCTCCCCTACCACCCCTATAAATCTCCAGAAAGTCAAGGGGGCTGCAGATTCAGATAGGTAACACTTATAGGTTCCATCTCTACTCATCTCTTCATTGTTTTCATTTGTCACTGATAACATTATTATAAAAAATATCAATTACAGCGCTTTAGTATTCATCCTCTTTATTTTTTGTCAAAATATGTATCCATTCAAAACTCTTCTCGACCTTAGAAAAACAGCTGAAAAACACACGACAAAGGTCTGTTTACATAGCTATTCTTGAACCTTTGGTTACATCAGCAGGGGGAGTTTGCTTCACGTTTCTATTTTCTGAGCACTTTAAGGACTTCTTGTACCATGTTAGGTTCAAATCTAATAATTAAGATCTTGTGAAAGCTTCAAAAATGAACCATGGTTGTTTTCCAACTAAATATTGATGTGTGGCATTGCAGCTTTGTTGGGAAATGTTTATGCCATTCAAGGACACGAAGCATTGCCTCAGAAAAGGATCTGGAACTGGGTAACATTCTCAAAACAAATCATTAGGAATTATTCCAAATTACTAGTATTATTTTATTATCAAATTATTTACAAAATGATTGATTTTAATTGTTTTCAATAAACAAAGGTCCAAAAATTACCATGAAACAACTTTTCTCTCAAACAACAAACTGGTAACTTGATCATTACTGAATGTTCTATAAAAGATTAAATAGTTTACTTTCAACTTGAATTTCTACACATACTATTTAATTTAATCTGATCATGTCGTATCCATTATTGATATATATATATTTAACTCATTCAAAAGTTAAGTACTAACTCTTACCATTCAACATGAGTCAGTTTGGACCAAATAATGAGATGACAAACAAGGAAATAAATCAATAATGATAAGGCCATAGTTTTACTAAGCCTATTAATACTTAATCACAATTAATACCTGATTGCCTAATTCATGGGATAATATTAAAGAAACTGCACATTATTTAATTAGGATTTAAATCATTTCAATATATTATCACACAAAATATTTCTCATCATAAAAACCATTAGTTAACTGGGTTGTTCATGATTTATAGAATGTAACAACTCAGTAATATAAAATGTGACACTGTCAATGTTAAACCACAAATTTACATGGTTTCTGTTACACATATTCCTTTTGAAAATAATTATTGATCCTTAAATGTGAATACATGTCAATTACAGGCTTTACGTGGTACCAATGACTATTACCACAAATTTCAATGATATATGATCAGAAAAGGATACAAACATGATGAATCTGCAAAAACTTGATATATGAGTATTGTTGTATAAAACTATAATCAAACAAGTTTACAGCTGAAGACTACAGTAAAAATATAATCTATGTGACTTTTCATAAAATATTTTCTGTTTCTTGACTGTTACAGCCAAACAGGTTTTCGCACGCTGGTTTTCTTACATTTGGTGTTCATCCACAATACAACTTGTTTGGCACTACCGTTTTGTTTTTTATATCTAACACCAAACACCAAATAGTTTCCTCCCTTTGGTAAGCAGCACTAGCACGTCTTTACAGTAAAAGTACTCTCTTAAGGTCAGGAACCGCGTTGGGACAGCCTGGTGGCTCAGTCGGCAAGGGTGCACTTATTGGTGGATTTTTTTTTTTCACGTCACTGCTTTTAATTAGTTCTAATTTTA